ACACAATGTCTCATAATCTGCTTTGTGCACTTAATAATATTGTGAATATTTCCCCATGTCATTATTTATTCTTCTATAACACTAGCTTTAATTGCTGTACAGTAGGACAGTCTATGAATTCATTTAAATAATTTGCTATTCATTAATATTGAATTTTCCCCATTACATTAATAATATATGCCAATGATATTTACTGCTTAATCTTTGTGCAAGTCCTCATTCTTCCCTTACGAGTGAAATTGATGGGTCAGAATTATTTTTTTTAAGTTTTGATGCAAATTGTCAAATTGCCCTGAAAAATCTATGGATCCACCCCACTGCTAGAAGGGTTCAGGAGTAACTGCTACTCTACGCCACATTTTACTTTTAGCGACGTTTGAAATTTGAGGATGAAATATAATATCAAATTATAATTTGTGTGTCTTTGCTTGCTAATGAGGCTAAACTTTAAATTTTTTAAAAATGCTTCTTGGACCCACACAGTGTCCTTGTATAAACCTGTGCTCAGGATCTGGACTCGGGCTGGTGCTTATTGGCTGGGTGAGCTTAGGAAAGCTGCCTCATTTTTCTCAGCCCTGGTATTTGCCTTTGTAAAAAGGAATAATTGTAATACCTTCCCTCCAGGGTTGCTGTGAGGATGAAATGAGACAGTGCAGACAAAATGCTCCTGGCATATGAGAACACTCAATAAATGGTAGGTTTATTCCCCCTTTTTGGGTAAAAAAAAAAAACCCTATTGCCGAAACAGGTTTGGCTCAGTGGTAGAGCGTCGGTCTGCGAACTGAAAGGTCCCGGGTTCGATTCCGGTCAAGGGCATGTACCTTGGTTGCGGGCACATCCCCGGTAGGGAGTGTGCAAGGGCAGCTGGTCGATGTTTCTCTCTCATCGACCTTTCTAGCTCTCTATCTCTCTCCCTTCCTCTCTGTAAAAAATCAATAAAATATATATATATTTTTAAAAACCCTATTTTCATTGGGTTTTTGTCTTTTTCTATTTGTAAAAATCCCTGATCCGTTAGTGGCAATGTCACTACAAACCACACAGGATAGTAATAATAACTACCATTTGTTGAATACTTACTATAAGCCTGGCACTGAGATACTTTCACTGCAAAAAGTAGCTTATTAAGTCCTCACGGCTGATTTCTGTTTCTTTACACACACACACATACACACACACACACACACACACCCATATTTTCATTGATTTCAGAGAGGACGGGAGAGGGAGACAGAAACATAAATGATGAGAGAGAATCATTGATTGGCTATCTCCTGCACGGCCCACACTAGGGATTGAGCCCACAACCCGGGCATGTGCCCTGACCAGGAATCAAACTGCAACCTCCTGGTTCACAGATGGAGGCTCAATCACTGAGCCATGAGGCCGGGCCTGATTTCTATTTCTTCATCAGCCCTCATATATGAGCAGTTCCTAAGTACTATTATTTTATAAATTTGTCCTCCCCAGGGCAGTTTAGAACTAGTGAGATGGCCTCCAAACTGGACTCTATGGTTCCAGACTGCTTTTCTGCCCAAGGTCACTGTTACAGATACAAATGCCAGAAAAGTTATCATTTAAAGTTCAGAATTGGCAATGATTCTGAATGACCTGTTGACCTGCATTCAGACCCCTCCAAAATCTGTGTCTGGCCTATCTGCTCAGCCATAGTTCCCCTCCTTCTACCTTTTCTCTGCAACTCCACCTTGACACACACACACACACACACACACACACGCACGCACGCACGCACGCACGCACGCACGCACACACGCACACACGCACATGCACACCATCCAAACACATAATCCCAAATTCTCGCTACACGGCTCTGTGACCTGCGTTCTATTCATGTCTCCCACAAATTCTGACAGCACCTCTATGTTCCAGGCACTGTCCTTTAGTCCCGTCCCCCTCTCCCCCCCATTCTCTGTGCACATCCTACAGGTTGTTTCTCTCTCCCACTAAATGTTGAGCTCTGGGGGCCAGGAATTGTCTTTCTTGCACAGTGATTAGCTCAGCTTCTTGTGTATACACATGTAATCAATAACTGTCAGCATCTCTGAGCAGAAAGTCAAGCCCAGAGGCTCAGGTGAGGGGAAATGAATTAACCCGCAGGGGTATGCGAGCAGATGTACATCGAGACAGCAGAGTGGCTATTCACAGAGGTTGGTACAACCAAGATAAGAGAAGGGGCAAAGGGATAGGAAAAGGAGCAGTAAGTGATGGAGAGGTACTGACTTTCAATCCAAAAAAATTACCCTATGTTTTTTAGTCATTTATCTACCAGATAGACCCATTTCCCTAAGCAGGGATGATGAGGTGAGGACGGAAAGAAAAGGACGCTGTGTCTGTGTTATCTCAGTTACTCCTCCCAACACCACCAGCAAGGAGATGTGCTCTTCCCACTTAACACAATTGAGGTTCAAGGATGTGCAACCACTTGACTAAGCTCCTATGGTGAGACGAAGGAAGAATCGGGGTTCCCACCCAGCCTGCCTGGCTCTAGCATCTTTCTTATTCTCTATCCAGTCTGAGGCTAAAGAAAGAAAAAAACAGAACCCTATTTGGACCGTCTCTTAAATCCCAGCCATGAAGTCAGTCAACAGCTCCCACAAATGCCTTTTCAGAATCCCCAGCCACCCAGGGTGCCTGTGGGTCCCTGTGGGTCCCATTTAAGCAGCTGGGCTCTGAGAATTACTCAAACACCAGAGCGAGGTCTTTCTGCGTGAATGAGCCACACGGCCATGGTCTCTGCCTCTCTTGTCTCAGTGAAGCAAAGGGTATATCCGCAAGCAGGCAGGTCCCCGTTAGCCATTGCCCTCAGCAACCGGCTCTCATCCCTGCATTTCTCACCACCAGTTACTGAGGAGCACTGGCATGCCCAGAGACAGTGGGTGCCTGATGGCAAAGTGACTGAGCCTCTAGATTTCCTGATCTGTTCTTCCTTTCACACTGTCCTTTCTAGCTCGAGATCAAAGGCTTTGTTGTCCAGAGGCCTTCCTGGGAAGTCCAGGCTTCATTCAAAGAGCTTGCTCTTTTCGGGTATCCTTTGTTATGCTCCCTCCTACACCCCCGTCTCCCTTCACTGGTTCCTGTCTCTCCGGCCCACTTATCTGTTCTTCATCCTATTGTTCAGTGAGTCCATTTCAATGAAGTGTTGCATAGTATTCACCACCTGTTCCTTCCTCTCCATCTTATCCGGGCCTTGTTCCTCTGGCAAGCAGTTAGAGAACATCTGCGAGGTGCTAGCAGCCGGTCCCCACAATATCATTTCTGACCATCACAACAGCTTCCTGCGGTAGGACCCCCCTGCCTGGCGCTTTCACTCTGACTCCACCCATTGCATCCTGCTGCCCAGTCTTCCGGAAACTCTCCTTGGTAAACAGCATTCGCCCCCACGATCGTGTCCCTGCTTATTAGCTCTCTTCTGTGTGCCCTCTCAATGCCTTTTAGTTAGGTGACCAGATCATCCCGCTTTTGGCAGGACAGTCTCGATTTTCAACATTTTTTTCCAGGGTCCCACGGCATTTTAAAAAAGTCCCGAATCTTTCCAAAAATCGGTACTTTTTTAAAACGCCGTGGGACCCTGGAAAAAATTGTTAAAAATCGAGACTGTCCTGCCAAAAGCGGGACGATCTGATCACCTTACTTTTAGACATTTTTCTTCATATACAATCTACATTCTACTGTCTTCTATTCACTTGCTCCCTGACAAGCCATATAGATTTCCACTCCTGTGTCTTACAGATCTTTTTTTAAAAAATATATATTTTACTGATTTTTTTTACAGAGAGGAAGGGAGAGGGATAGAGAGTTAGAAACATTGATGAGAGAAAAACATCAATCAGCTGCCTCCTGCACACCCCCTTCTGGGGATGTGCCTGAAACCAAGGTACATGCCCTTGACTCTAATCAAACCCAGGACCCTTCAGTCCGCAGGCCGACACTCTATCCACTGAGCCAACCTGGTCAGAGCCTTACAGCTCTTTGAATTTCCAAATTCCACTCCATAATATACGTAATAAACATCTTGGGACAAACTTAGTGCTGGGATGGCAGAGGGTGCTCTACCATCTGATGGGTTCTGGTTAAGGAGAAGCAGCATTTTCACACCCATCCCTATAGCAGAGTCTGAATGATCCAGAGTTAGGGCTGAGGGACAGTACTAACCATTCTGTCTGGAGAAGTCTAATGACCTAAGGAACAGCAGGCCCTTGACCCCAGTGCTGCTAGGATTTGATTTTCTTGGACACCTTGCTAAATTCTGAGACAAGAAATCCAGTCAACTCATTCTTCCACTCACTCAGCCATTCAACAAAATTGGGTGCCAATTTTACTGGGTGCCACCTATGTGCTGAGCATTGCGATGGATGCTTAGGAGGAAAAAATAGTTCTTGTCCTCATAGAGCCTTGAATAGGAGACACAGACATAAAACACCAACAAGTGAGTAAATAAAAGAATAACAATGTGGGAGGAATGTTAATAAAAAGAGAAAGTGCAACAGAGTGGGATAGGCTGATTGGAGAGAAGGGGCGCTCAACCAAAGTCCCTCTGAAGGAGAGACATTTAAGCTAAGATCCAAAAGAGGAGAAGCCAAGCACTCAAAGTGACATGTCAGGCTCTTGAACAGCAGGTGCACAGGTTATACCCACACACACACTGAGGCTAATTATCTGTAATTTATTTGTCCACTGAAGATGTTCAGCTCTTTCTATCATAGTCAAAACAGCTTTTCTTTTGATTAAAAAAATAGATAAGACTTTTGGTTTATGGGTCTCTCACATAACCAGGATTTAAATCCACCTATGTGTGTATATATATTTTTTCTACTTTGCTCTACCATTTATTTCCAACTCAAATTTACATAATGTTTCCAGAACCCAATACAGCACTCTTAGTGATCCTCATCACTCTGTATACTGAAAACAGCAGTTTATAGCTCTTTAAAGTTGGTATTCAGCAGCTCTTAAGAAAATCTAGAAGTTGCTTTCCATACCTCGTTGATTAACTGGATCTTTAGCTACGTAGGCAACATAGTCTGTAGTATCCTATAAAAAAGGGAAAACGATTGCATTTAAAACAAATGGATTGCACTGTTGAGAAAAAAAAGAGTACATTTAGGACATGATACAAAGTCAAAGACTTAAATATTAAGGTTTCCTTTTTAAAGAAAAAAGAAAAGCATCTTAGGAGGGAACATAAATATGCACTTATATGATTTAGAAATTGTAGGGTCCGCTTTCTCTGCCTCTTGTGGAGAGAATCTGGAGATTGAAAATTTAGAGGCAGACCATGTCAGTAAGAATAAAAGAGAATACAGGTAGGTAATATGCTAGGACATATGTTCTCAAAAAAAAAAAAAAAATGATTGGGGACTGTGATTCTATCCCTGTGTTGAAAGTTGAAATACCAGGGGTTACCCATCACAAAGGTGTCATCAACTTGGATGTGGGTGGCATCATGATGTCCCCATTGTCCAAACAGACACCATGTGCATGAGAAAAGAAACACTTTGCATTTTGTGGTTGTTGGCTTGCTTGCATGCAATGCACATTAACTTAAGGAACAATAAAGCAGAAATACAAGCATTTATTTGATCAAGACAGAGGAAGGAAAAGTCATTTATTAAAAAAGAGAACCCATTAAAACCTAAGGAGTTAAATAGAGAATGAGAGATGTGCTGCTGACTTTGTAAAAACTAACAAACAAAAAGCCACTTGGTAATTCTCATTTTTATTGAAAACAGTAAGCTGATGAATGATAAGATTTGAATAATTAAAGATGCTTTTTGTTATCTCAGTTCTCAGGGAAAAAATACACACTGCCGTTGGAAGATTAGAAGCATGACTCTCTAGAGGGGAGATGCAATCAACTGGCAAGGAATAAAAGCCGGCATCTGTAATACCATCAAGGACAATCATTTAATAACCGCAGTGAATCAAACGGGAAATGGATCTCAGGATCTGCATAACTTTTCTTGAGTCATTTTAAAAAACAGCACACTCGTAGGTAAATTTCTCCTATGCAAACAGATAAAAGGTTTGAACTATCTTGTAAATATGTAAATTCATGTCTCTAGGCTTTGTTTTCACATAATTTAGAAGGCCACAATGGTTGGGGGCTTAGCTGCTCTTTTGAAAGCTGAAGAGGCAGTATGGTGCCACCAACTGTGTCCAATAGATTGGATGATGGGGTAGAGGTCCTGGGACCTCTGCAGACCTGTTTCCTCATCTTCAAAGGAGTGACCAACAGTCTTAGAGCTCTAAAATTCAGTAACTGGGATACCTGGGAGAACTTAAAGCATGTTAAAAGTAAAGCACAAATAGCGGGGGACACTACGGGAAAATGTATTTAACCCGGTCATACTCGTTGGCGCATTTCTGAAATGGAGCAAGCATATGTAGATGCAGAAGCATTACGGAGAAATGTCTCCAGGGCTGACAGAAGGAAGACAAGTAAGCCTTAAGCCGTTTGTGAGAAGCGAGTGAAGGTGAGGGGGAGCAAGGGTCAGACAGTAAGGAAGAACACCCAGTATTTGTTAGACTTTTAGAAAGAAGGACACTACATTAGGCCATGGTGACGTAGCTTCTAACCCTTGTACCCAGTCAAGCTGTGAAGTTGTGCATTGTCTCAATGAGTGTCCTAAAAAATATGGATGTGTGTGAGCAACATTGGGGATGGTTCTCTCGCATCACTCTGGGCCAAGCACCGTCAGTTTACATGCGTCATTTCAGTCAATTCTCACCCTTCTGGGCAAGGGTGACCTTTCCCATTTTACAGGTGAGGGCCCTGCAGCTTGGAGAGGATAAATGGGTCAAGTCCACTTGACACCAGAGCCTCTTTCCTCCACGCCCCTGACCTGAGGGGGAAGTCACCTTCGTGCCAATGTGTACGAAGGCTCCAGTTTTAATTTCCAACCAGCAGCCTGCGGCCCCAGCTGCAGGGAGCACAGAAGTCCCGCGCCATTCAGTAGATAAATACTTTCCCACAGTGGCTGTAAGTTCGTTACTGTTTGCTTTTGGTAGGGGCCACGGCCCTTGGTGAGTTGGAAGAAATACAGAACTAAGGGCACATGAAGATGGTCTAACAGTAATTGGGATTCTGGAGAACTACGAGCAGCACCACGCAGGGCATGCTTATGGCAAATGCTTATGGCAAATCCTAAAAGTGACAGGAATCCTTAAAACTCCAAAGGGAAAACTTAAGGCAAATAGCAATGATTGTTTTTCACTTGACACTTATAGAATTCATTACTTTAAGTCTCTTAAAATAAGAACTGGAGTTCTTTCATGGATGATCAAACTAGAATGGGTGTGAGAGAGAAAAGACAGGGCTAGCTTTTCCAGGCTGGATTCAGTAAACATGTCCCTTAGCGTCACTGTGAGACCAGATGATAAGGCTGTATAGATGGGGCTTCAGATTCAGAATTGGGGTCATACTGCAGCTGCTAAGTGGCAGGCACCCTGCATGTCCCCTGCTTGCTAGTGAGTTTGCTATAAGCCATTTGGGAAATCTCTTGGGGAAAAGGTAGAACTCTTATCATTTGGTTTATTTTTAAACTAGAAGCCCAGTGCACAAAATTCATGCACTGCAGGGGGGGGGTGTTCCTCAGCCCACCCTGCCCCCTCTCACAGTCCAGGAGCCCTCAGGGTATGTCCTATTGATAGCTTAGACCTTCTCCCTGCAAGCCTAAGCCATCAGTAGGCCTCCCTCTGCAGGAGGCAATCTGGCTGATCAAGGGAAGACACAGCCCCCATCATCCTGCTGCTGATGCCACTGCTGGCCACTGCAGCTGCCAAGGTGTTTTCATCAACACGGACTCCAGTCCCTTCACCATGAAAAAATGACAACTTTCTTTAGGCATTTTCAAGATGTCTCTTTCATAGGCTATGACATTTCTTTATTTCTTTCCTTTTTTTTTTATCCTCACCTGAGGATATTTTTCCATTGATTTTTAGAGAGATGGAAGAAAGAAGGAAAGGCAGAGAGAAACATCAGTGTGAGAGAGACACTTTGATTGGTTGCCTCCTGCATGGACCCTGACCTGGGCCCTGGCCAGGGAGGAGCCTGCAGCCTAAAGTAAAACTGCTAAATTAGATACAATCTAGCTAATGTCCTACAGGACAATAAAACCATTACTCTTTGAATTGGTGTGTCTTCTAGACAGAAATTAGTTACATCTTTAAAAGCCTAAAAACTATTTTCACCTTCTCACTTTGCTGATCATTATATGTAACTTTCCAGGGCTATAAAATGTTAAAATATATGGAACTTATTTAATTGTAAATACTGTTTCAGAGTTATGTGTATCATAGAAAAGGAAATGATCATTCGGTGGGCCTATAATGCCCCAATTATACTGAAAGGACTTGCTGTCAACGTTTTACTCCAGGCCTGTGCTGGGCCAAGGCCTGTGCTCCCAGGTTGCTTGGTGGGGTCGTCCTGGCCTCCCAGAGCCAGCAATGGTTCCAGGAAGGCTGCTTTGGCAGGGCCACCCTGGCCTCCCAGGGGCAGCGATGGTCCCAGGAGGCCTCGGGTTTGATGCCTGTCCCCGGGACCCAGGCCACTTGGCGCCACCTACCCAGCGATTTGGCACCTGCATATGCAAATTAACCCATCATCTTTGTTGGGCTGATTTGCATATTCACTCCTGATTAGCTGGTGGTCATTGTGGAGATATGGTCAATTTGCATCTTTCTCTCTTATTAGAGTAGATGATGGCACCATAGAACTAAAATATTCATTTGAGAATAACTACACTCAAAGCTAAAAAGGTGAAGTAGTGTAGCCTAATGGGGAAATTAAGTATTTATTCAATTAAAAAAAAAAGAGAGAGAGAGAGAGAAGCAGTGATTTAAAATCCTGTAAAGATTGCTTTTCTTCCATATGCTTCAAGGACATTCTGAAGACAAGTTGTCTACATTTGACCTGGTTAAATACTTTGAGGCACTGGTAACTAATGAGAAAACAAATGGATGTTTTAAAGAATGGGCTGATTTAAACAGCATATAACTATTATTTTACATATAAAATGTTATGCCAACACCCAAGAGGAGGAACTTGCTTAAATAAAGTAGATGCCAGTACAGGAAGCAATAATTTGACACAGAACCTTCAGAACTTCATTTCCTTTCAGGAGAGACATTTTTCCTTTAAATATTTAGCCTCGACATTAAAATCCATCAAAACTCTGCAGTGACAATAGCTGCCAGATCCAGTGTTTACCACCATTCGATACCTCTCTTGGATTTCTGGCTTATGTGTCCTATCATTTATGGCCCTAAATTTTATTCCTCCAGTTGAAGAGAGAAGCTAAATGTTCTGGAGAGGAAAAAATCATTTGTTCAAGTGGGTTTATTGCCTCATTTCTGAAGGCTGTGCTCTTTAGTAATAAATGCAGAACAGAAGGTAACGGACTGTCAGTTAGGACCAGGTCTTCATATGGTCCCCATGCTTTCCTGACATGCCTGATGATGGTCAGTCATCATGAAAGGCAGGCAGACTCCGCCCTCTTTCAGCCTGCTACATGTGTGCAGATGGAGAAACGTCAGGATGTCAAGGGAAGCAATGTCCCCCTTCTACTCTCTCAGTTTACATAGGTTTGTTTTCTGTTCAGCCACAGGCTTCTCAGCTTTGATGCCTTTCTCTTGCCACAGTCCAGAAATGGCGCAGCACCTAAGCAGGGAGCGACTCTCCCCTCGGCACAGTAGGCTTGCAGATCCCCGCTGGCTCAGCTCTGTGCCCTTCACAGGAAATGAGCACCTTGAGGCCTCCTGGTAGCCAGAAACGGCAGTGCTCTCCCCACCTGAGCGAGGCCTCCATAAGCTTCTGCAAACCAGGCTGCTCATTCTAGAGGGGACTTAGTTGCCATGGATGTGCCAAATCCAACTGATTAGTAGCATCAGCCTAGAACTTTATGTGGAGAAGAATTCTAAGGAAGGACTGGCAACACATGTATGACACGTTTGTTTTTCATGACTTTGATGTGACCTGCAAGAAGCTTCTCAGATGATAACTCCCTGGCTATCTGCTTGCCTACTAATCCAACTATTTTAACAATAAGTGGTGGGATGTATTTTGTCAAAACCAAATTTTAAATTACTTGTTACATGTAGCTATTCACAAATTCTAGTAAGATATTTGGAGAGAACCTATAGTGGCTACATGCTTTACGTGCAAGTTTTAACTCTTAAAAAAAAAAAAAAAAAAAAAAGACCTTAGTGAACCCATACTTACAGGATCCCCTCCAGAGGCAAATGAAATAGACTGCATGTGATGATTTGCAATAATCTGGAAAACATAAAAAAATAAACATGTGTGATGCTATAAATTAATTACTCCGAATTACATACAATCTAACAGTAATGGACACCCATTTGCTTTGTTTTTGCCTGGACAGTATCCTTGTGGAAAGGATTCCACCCACATTTTATGAGAATCTCACTGAGATTCAGGTGGTTTGGACATGCCTGTCTCATTGCCTCTCTCCTTGCAGGTGGACACATGGCCCAGGCCTAGCCAATCAGGAAACATCTGGATACAGCAGAGTCAATCTAAGTCTTTGGGTAGAAACTGATATGGACAACAGGAAAGGATACGTCTCTCGCTGCCATTCAGGACCATGTAAGCATAAAGCTTCTGGGAGCGAGCCATCTTTTGCTGACACGCGGGAAAATCCTACAGGAAAAATGAAGCTTTCCCTCTGGGGAAAATCAGCTGACAGTTGAAAAATAGAAAAAAAAAAAAAAAAAAAGTATAGACTGACAGCTGGGGGTGGGAAGCCTGGGTGACAAAAAGGTGAAGCGATTAAGGCAAAGAGCAAAACAAACACCTCACAGACAACAGTATGGTGATCACCAGAGGAAAGGGGGTGGGGGAGGTAAAAGAGGGTAACGGGGGCATAAGTGGTGGTGGAGGGAGACTTGGCTTGGGGTAGTGAACACACAATACAGTATACAGATGACGTATTATAGAATTGTACACCTAAAACCTACAAAACTATATTAATGTCACCCCAATAAATTCAATAAAAATAAATAAATAAATAAATAAATAAATAAATAAAACTCTGGTTGTAACATTTGTTTCATTTCAACCAATGCAATTCCTGTCCCCCTTTATCATTTTTTTCCTAGTCAACTTAGGTTTATATAAATTGGTTTGAACTGGATTTTCAGTCATTCACCACCAAAAGTATCCTAAGAAATTACCACTAAGATTTCCAATATGAAGTAACATTATTCAAGTGAACTGCATTATTTAACTAAGACTGTTTCTCTCACTTGAGATTCTAGGATCACTTGTTCATAATCTGCAGGGTGAAATGACCTATTTTGCAGAAATATGTTTGTCATACTGTTTTGAGGGTTCGTTAAAATATCAACTGTGCACCTATTTAACTAGTCCTGTCTTCAGAAGTGTTTAACAGAATATGCTCAAGTAGCTTATATAAAACGACCAAGCGATTCTACTCCTAAATGTATATACAACAGGATTGTGTGAATATGTGCACCTAATGGTGTGATAAAAAGATAAGCACCGTCCTTTTCATAAAAGCCCACAACTGGAACCAGTCACAGTGACGATTACAGTGATATTCAAGCAATGAACTATCGGGTCTAGTAATATTTAATGTCGTTTTCAAACATTCGTTTAAAATCTTGCTTGGCGTTGACTTGTATTGACATAACCTTCAAACACGTGGTATCTACAGAACGTGTGAAGTGCAATTAACAAGTTTTGCTTGAAAAAGTTTGTGTTTGGTTTGGTTTTTGTTGCAAAACTAGGGCTAAGAAGATGGCGGATGAAGAGCATATTCGGCACTGCATGCTTTACGAGTTCCAATTAGGAAGAAAAGCAAGTGAGGCTGCAAAAAACATCTGTAGTGCTCTTGGTCAAGATGCAGTTAGCGCCAGAAAATGCCAGCGTTGGTTTGAGAAATTTCGCGAGGGAAATTTTTCGTTAGATGACAAGAGTGGTCGAGGCCATGTGTCCAATTTTGATCAAGAAGCTCTTCAAGCTCTTTTGGTGCAAAATCCTCAAATTACCCAACGAGAGCTTGCGACAACTTTAAATTGTTCACAAAAAACAATTTCCAATCAATTGCGTGCACTTGGCAAAGTCCAAAAGTTTGGAAAATGGGTTCCTCATGAGTTGATCGACAACAACCGTAATCAAAGAGTCACAATTTGCAGTTCGCTCCTCTCTCGTCAAAACCGTTTGCCGTTTTTAGAGCAAATTGTTACCGGAGATGAAAAATGGGTGCTGTATGTTAATTTGAAAAGACGGCCTCAATGGTTGGACAAAAATGAGGCTCCGCAGCCCACGACAAAACCTGACTTGCTTGCGAAAAAAGTGATGTTGTGTGTTTGGTGGAATTTTAAAGGAATTCTTCATTATGAACTTTGACCATCTAACCAAACCATTACAAGTGCAGTGTATAGTGCCCAATTGGAAAGGTTAGCCCAAGCTTTAAGAGAAAAAGAACCCGCGCTGATTAATCGGAAGGGCGTAATTCTTCACCACGATAACGCACAACCGCATACTGCAAGAATCACTGCTGAAAAACTGTGCCAGTTGGAATGGGAAGTTCTCCCTCGACCTGCATATTCTCCTGATATTGCCCCTTCTGATTACCATTTGTTTTGTTCTTTGCAAAACTTTCTTCTTGGAAAAAAAATTTAATAATGAAGAATGCCTCAAAAATGCATTGACCGAATTTTTTGCATCAAAATCACAAGAATTTTACAACAGAGGGATTAAAATGCTTCCTGAGCGTTGGGCACAATAGTAGAAAACAACAGCAACTATATTGTTGATTAAATTTTGTTGTATTGTTTAAATAAATTAGATTTTAAAAAGTATTAGAAAACGACATTAATTATTACTAGGCCTAATACTAATAGCAACAACATGCTTCTTGGGCAGAAGAAGCCAGACACAAAAAATTATAGGCTGAGTGATTTCATTTCTATAAAGCTCAAAATGGCCAAAATTATTTTATCCTGCTTGAAGTCAGGATATTGGTTACTTCTGGGGCAAAGGAAGAGAGAGAAAATGGTTTTCTGGAATTATATGGTGTTTCTTTATCCCAGTAATAGTTAAACAAGTATGTTCATTTTGTGGAAATCATTATTATGTGTAACTTTCCTCTATTTATGTTTTCTACTAGAGGCCCGATGCACTAAATTCCTGCAAGGGGCTCGGCCGGAAGGTCATCTGGAAGGTTGTTCAGCTCTCTGGTCTAATTAGCATATTATACTTTTATTATTATAGATATTTACATTTCAGTTATACAAAGATCAATGTCACTCCTTTATATCAGCAATAGCCAATTAGACACTGTATTTGGGGGTAAAGGAGGTACATTTACAAAAGTAACTACAGATAAATCTAAAAAGATCTGTGTAAAGTTTTTTTAAAAACTTCATTGGAAAGCATAACTAACTACCTGAATAAGCAAAAAATAAAAAAGATACATGTCACCTTTATGGATTAGAAGATAATATTGTAATGATGTCAATTCTCCCTCAAATTAATCTGTAATTTCCATGCAATTCCACTAAAAATTCCACCAATGTCATTCAGGGAACTTTTCATACTGCTTCTAAAATTCACATGGAAGAATAACAACTGTGCAAAAAAAAGCTAAAGAAAAATTTTAAAGAACAAAGAGACTAGCCTGGCTGGTGTGGCTCTGAGGTGGAGCATCAACCAATGAACCAGGAGGTCATGGTTTTCCCGATCAGGGCACAGGGCACATGCCTCATGACAAAGTTGTGGGCTCAATCCCTAGCATGGGGTGTGCAGGAGGCAGCTAATCAATGATTCTCTCATCATTAATGTTCCTATTTTTCTCCCTTTCTCTTCCTCTCTGAAATCAATGGAAATGTGTTTTTTTTTAAAAAAAAAAAACAAAAAAAAAAAAACAGAGACTAGTTTTTCCTTATAAGCAAGGCATATTATAAAACTACGATTTCATTAGAATACAAAGTCAAAAAACAGTCACATATTCATGAACTTTTAGTCTATGATAAATGTGTCACCTAAGACAAAACGATAAGTGGAGTTGGCTGGCTTATATGGAAAAAAATATATAAATAACTCCTGTCCTCATACTATCTATATAAATAAATGTTTGATTCATTAAAAAAAATCAACAAATACATCAGAAGGCAGATAAAAGATTATGCTTATGAACCTTGATGTAGGAAAAACCCATCTTATTAGAAGACAAACAAAAAATCCCCTCAAATTAGATTACATAAAAACTCATTTTTAAAATTTGTATTAGAAAAGACCCCTGAAACAGGACAAACAATAGGAAGAGAGAATATATTCAGAGCATGTAAAACAAAAGTATTCATATAGTCAGAGTTCATAAGGAGTTCTTATGTATCCATAAGAAAAAGAAATAAACCTAAAGTAAAACCAGTTAGTTTTCAGAATACAAATGTTCAATAAACAAACTGAAAAAAATAATCAGTGTCTAAGAAATCAAGACTATTCAAAACAAAACAAGATACAGTAAATTGATAAACTGTCCAAGTTCAACACAATCACGTGTGGCAAGGGTGTGGATATTCTCAAACACTGCTGGCTAAAACTGATATTTGTATAGCAACTTTGGAAAGCAATTGACAGTATTTTTTTAAATTAAAGTATGCATACCTTATGATTCCACCTTTCAACTTCCAAATACTGCGTTTATTCTAGAGAAACTGGCATATGTAGACGTTCATTTAGCCAGTTTATAACATCAAAAAATTGGAAATGATTTTTGCATTGCTATAATAGATTTATATATATATATATCTTCAAGACATAGCTCAGGGGATTTGGTTTGTAAATTGAAAACAGCTATGTGAGACATTGGGGGGAAAAAAGTAAGATTTTTCCCTACTTCCCCTAAGATCCCTGCGAATGCCAAGAAAAAGGATTTAAAGCATACACATCAAATGGATGATAATGGAAAGTTACCTCTTGCAAAAAGAAATGGGACCGAGGATATATCCTCACTAGAACTTTTTTTTAAAAGAGCACGGGAAATATGCTTATCGAACTTCTAATGAGGAACATCGAAACGGGGGGGGGATGTTTCATTCTTAAAAGGCTTCCAGATGCATTCTTAACATGTTGCTTTGAGGCTGAGAACCCAGTGTGGTTTGCAGGGGCCGATTCAGAAGTGCGTTGCGCGGACAAAGGGTAGTTCGAGCCCGGGAGCAGCCGCGATGGCTGCGGGCGGCGGCAGAGGCGGGAGGAGGACGGAGGCGGGAGGAAGGGAGGGAGCG